ATTCAGGTCCATGGAGCTGGAGTCAGTGGGGCTGGGGGGGGCAGCAGCCTTCCGGGAGGTGCGGGTGCAGTCAGTGGTGGTGGAATTCCTGCTCACCCACGTGGACGTCCTGTTCAGTGACACCTTCACCTCCGCTGGCCTCGACCCTGCAGGTACGCCCATCCCAGCCCTGATGTCCTGGCTACTGGCCCCTCATTGTCAGGGCTGCAGAGGGAGGGCAGGTGGGCTCCCAGCCCCATCCCTATCCCACTGAAGCAAGACCTCCACCCTGGCTCCTTGAGGACCCCGCCCCGGCCTCTCCCTCCCCTCCCCACCCTTGTCATTTCAGCTCCTACGCTCAGGATCCCCACTTCTTGGCCCGGACATCGTTCTTCCTTCACCCCTTGTAGCTCCTGGGGGCGTGTGGGGCCATGGGTCCACCTGGGAGGAGGTGGGAGGTCCCCAGACTTGACCCCACCCGGGCCCCACCCAGACTCCCCGCCCTGCCCCGGACCCCAGCCCAGTCAGGATTCAGCACGTCGGAGGGCCCTCTGGGCCGAGGTAACTGAAGCCAGAGCCGCTGCCCTCGCTGGCTGCTGGGAGCTGCCTCCTCATCAGCTCGTTTCTGCCTCACTCCTCCTCCTCACCTGCCTGCTGCCCACCCATTCCCGCCTGATCCGTCCCGGCCCCCTGCCTTGCCAGCCCGGGTGGGCACGCTGCGGGCCGGGGCTTGGGCTGTAGCGCTTGGCTTTGCCTGTGACCTTGAATGGCCCTGGGGCTGATAGCTGCCCCCTTTCCCGACTCCCCAGGCCGCTGCCTCCTCCCCAGGCCCAAGTCCCTTGCGGGCAGCGGCCCCTCCACTCGCCTGCTGACGCTGGAGGAAGCCCAGGCTCGTACCCAGGGCCGGCTGGGGACACCCACCGAGCCCACAATACCCAAGGCCCCAGCTTCACCTGTGGAAAGGTGAGTGGGATGCCCTGGATGGAAGGGGCCAGCCTGGAGGCCCCAGCTCCTCAGCCTGCTTCCTGTGTCTCACTCAAACCCCAGGAGGAAAGGGGAGAGAAGCGAGAAACAGCGGAAGCCTGGGGGTAGCAGCTGGAAGACCTTCTTTGCATTGGGCCGGGGCCCCAGCATCCCCCGAAAGAAGCCTCTGCCCTGGCTAGGGGGCACCCGTGCCCGACCGCAGCCTTCAGGTCAGAGGTGGAGCAGTTGGGGTGGTTGGGGAGGCGCTCTGGAGGCCCCCATGACCTTTCTACTTCTCTCTGCAGGCAACCGACCTGACACAGTCACACTGAGATCCGCCAAGAGTGAGGAGTCTCTGTCATCGCAGGCCAGCGGGGCTGGTGAGCACTGGGTGGCCCATGCCTGTGCCCAGGTGGTGCTGGGAGGGACTGGGGCCCCAAGCTGGCCTCCAAATGATGTATTCAGAAATGGGGATCTTGAGGTTTTTTTCATTTTTAATCTGGACCGTACGTACAATGAGTTGGATAAAGCTTCACCCTTGGTCCAGGCAAAGTCCCTTCAGTCTTTTAATCATTCCTTTTGAAAAACAATTTAAATAATATAATGAACATCCATAAACCAGAACTAAAAGAGCCCCACTACCTCACCTGTGAGCTCATCCCCCTCCCACCTGCTGCCACTCTACCAGAAGCATCCCCTAGATTTGATGTCTTCATCCCCTTGCTTTCCGGGTTTTATCACGTACAGGTGTAGAAGTGTAGGCACCAATAACACTGTGACGTCCTTAGTTTTTTGTTTTTTTTTTTTGTTGATGTGAATCTGCTCTTTTATTATTGTGACTGATTTATTAACTTCAGCAAGGTTAAGCGAAGTCATCCTAGTTGTTTTGAAACTTTAATTGAAAGATATCATTAAAAAGGGTATTGTGCTGTAAGTGGATTCACTCACCACTACGTTACAGGCTGCCGCCCGCACTGCTGAGTGTAGCTCAGGCTGCTTCCTCTGCATCACTCTCTAGTGTTCCAGGTGTGGGGATCCCCTTGGGAGTTGCTTGTCCTTCCTCTTCCCGATGCATCTGGGGGCTCTGAGGAGCACACCCAGGAGTGGAGGTGCATACTGTACGGTATGCTCACATCCAACTCTACAAAACAAGGCCCAAGAGTTTCCCAGGGGTGGTGGCCCCGGACTGTCCTCCAGCTTCCGGGTACAAGATCCTGCTGGTCTCATGCTCACAGCCCACGGGGTTGTCACACTTCCTTCTTGTCTTTGCGTCTGGAATACTTCTTTTCATGGACTTGCCATTCATTTCCTTTATCACCCGTGAGTCTGAACAGCTGTCCCTGGATTCCCAGCCATTGTGACACCATCTGGGGGCGCCGGGGACGTGCCTCTTCCTGTTATTCCCCCAACTTACTGGGTGGTGCCCTGTTCTCACTGCTGTACAGGGGTATGTAACGTTCTGTCCCCTGACCCCTAACTGCCCCCCACACTGCCCTTCCAGGCCTCCAGAGGCTGCACAGGCTGCGGCGACCCCACTCCAGCAGTGATGCTTTCCCTGTGGGCCCAGCACCAGCTGGCTCCTGCGAGAGCCTGTCATCATCTGAGTCCTCCTCTTCCTCTGCCTCCTCCTCCTCCTCGTCCTCCTCGTCCTCAGCAGCTGGGCTGGGGGCACTCTCCGGTTCCCCCTCACACCGAACTTCAGCCTGGCTAGATGATGGTGATGAGCTAGACTTCAGCCCACCCCGCTGCCTGGAGGGGCTCCGGGGGCTTGACTTCGATCCCCTTACCTTTCGCTGCAGCAGCCCCACCCCAGGGGACCCTGCACCTCCCGCCAGCCCGGCCCCCCCGGCCCCCGCCTCTGCCTTCCCACCCAGAGCAACCCCCCAGGCTCTGTCACCCCGTGGGCCCACCAGCCCTGCCTCACCCACTGCCCTGGACATCTCAGAGCCCCTGGCTGTATCGGTGCCACCTGCTGTCTTGGAGCTGCTGGGGGCTGGGGGAACACCTGCCTCGGCCACCCCAACGCCAGCCCTCAGCCCCAGCCCAGGCCTGCGCCCCCGTCTCATCCCCCTGCTGCTACGTGGAGCTGAGGCCCAGCTGAGTGACACCTGCCAACAGGAGATTTGCAGCAAGCTGGCACTACCTGGTCCCCGTGGAGCACCAGGCCAGCAAGGTGAGTCCTGTCCAGCCCAACCCACACGCTTACAGACCCTGAGGCTATGCCCAAGACCCCGCTGACTCCTCTTCTCATTCCTCTCCTAGGTCCTGGTATGGAGTCACCGCTGCTGCCCCCACCCCTGTCCCTCCTGCGCCCTGGGGGGGCCCCACCCCCACCCCCCAAGAACCCAGCACGACTCATGGCCCTGGCCCTGGCTGAGCGGGCTCAGCAGGTGGCCCAGAGACAGAGCCAACAGGAACAGGAGAGCACCCCATCTGCTCCCCACTCCCCTTTCCACCGCTCCCTGTCCCTGGAGGTGGGCACTGAACCACCTGGGACCTCAGGGAGTGGGCTGCCTCCCCAATCCTTAGCCCACCCAGGTGCCTGGGCTCCAGGACCCCCACCCTCCCTTCCAAGGCAACCAAGTGATGGGAGCCTGGTCAGGAGCCAGCGGCCCATGGGAACCTCAAGGAGGGGACCCAGAGGCCCTGCCCAGGTCAGTGCCCAGCTCAGGAGGGGTTGGGGTACGGGGATGCACCAGAGACAACAGCCCAGTTCCTGTTTTCTGTCCCCCAACAGGTTCCTACCCCTGGCTTCTTCTCAGCCCCCCGGGAGTGCCTGCCACCCTTCCTTGGGGTCCGCAAACCAGGCTTGTACCCCCTCAGCTCCCCATCCTTCCAGCCCAGCTCCCCAGCCCCAGTCTGGAGGAGTCCTCTAGGTCCTCCTGCACCACTTGACAGGGGAGAGAACCTGTACTATGAGATTGAGGCGGGCGAGGGGTCCTCCTACTCTGGCCCCAGCCGGTCCTGGAGTCCCTTGCGCTCCATGCCCGCAGACAGGCTCAATGCCTCCTATGGCATGCTTGGCCAATCACCGCCACTCCACAGGTCCCCCGACTTCCTGTTCAGCTACCCACCACCGCCTTCCTGCTTTCCCCATGACCATCTTGGCTACTCAGCCCCCCAGCACCCTGCCCGGCGCCCCACCAGACCTGAACCCCTCTATGTCAACCTAGCCCTAGGGCCCAGGGGTCCCTCACCTGCCTCTTCCAGCTCCTCCTCCCCTCCGGCCCACCCCCGAAGCCGCTCTGATCCTGGTCCCCCAGCACCCCGCCTACCCCAGAAACAGCGGGCCCCCTGGGGCCACCACGCCCCTCATAGGGTGCCCGGGCCCTGGGGCCTTCCGGAGCCTCTCCTGCTCTACAGGGCAGCCCCACCAGCCTATGGGAGGGGGGCTGAGCACCACCGAGGGTCCTTGTACAGGAATGGGGGGCAAGTAAGGGAGGGGGCTGGTCCCCCACCCCCCTACCCCACTCCCAGCTGGTCCCTCCACTCTGAGGGCCAGACCCGAAGCTACTGCTGAGCCAGAGCTGGGAGAGACCTTCTTTCTCTTCCCCCTCACTGACCTTGGCCCAACCCAGTCCCTTGTTTTGTATTCTTGAGATCCTGACCTCTACCCCAGGTTTCTAACTTTGTAACTTGCCTCTGATGTGGGTCCCTAACCTGTGACCATAGCTTCCCTACCCTTGGCTGACGGGCACACCCATCCCCCCACCATCCTCCATCCTGGGGGCTCTCGCACAAATCTGAGGACTAGGCTGACTCCCTGTCCTCCCTCTCCTTCCAGGAGCCCTCAGCATGTCCTGACCTGTGCACAGGGGGTGGGGGGACAGCTCCTGCCCATCTCCCCTCGCATACCCCACTAAACCATCTGACAAAATTAATGAATAAAAATGGTGAAAACGTGGCTGCTAGTGTCATGCTGGGGCCAGGCTCAGTGAATAAAGAGGCAGTGACAGGTGGGTCACTTTATCATTTTATCATTTCAGCAGGTGCCAAGTGCGGAGTCCCTCCTGGGAGGCTCTGAGGAGCGATATCTGCCAAGGGGGGGCCGTGGGTGCCCTGACAATTTGTGTCAGGAGTGGGATTGAGCTTGGGTCTGTCTTCAAGTTGGTATCCACCTTTCATCTCTGCTATGATCTCCTCCAGCAGATCCATCCTGGGGGTGGGGAGACAGTTGGGTAGGGGTGGACTGAGGGTTACCTCAGGGATAAAGAAGGGGCCTGGGACCCTCCCACCAGGGCCCCATTTCTCACTTCTGCAGGCTGGAGAAGAGACTTCCTCTGATTAGCTCAGAGCTGGGATCCTGCAGGAGAAAAAGACTGGAGCTGCCACCAGGTGGCCACAGAGCTCAGGATGGGCCCGGGGGTGGGGGCAGGGCCTGGGCTCAGGGTCTTCTGCTTCACCTGCCCTCGTGGCTTTCCCTGCCAGCAGCCTCTAGGATGTGGGAAGCCTCCCTGTAGGTCAGTAGACAGGGGGTGGGCTCATGGGGCTGGGGGGGTCCAGCAAGGCGGCCCTGTGTGTGTGCTGCCTCAGCCCCTGCAGGGCTTGGATCTTGGCTGAGAACTTCCTCTCAAACTGCTCCTCAGAACTCAGAAGGCTGAGTCCTGAAGGCTGGAGTGCAGGGCAGGGCCCTAGGGGAAGCAGGGTCAGTCGGGGGTCACAGATCAGTGAGGGGACAGTTGGGGATGACAGGGGCTCCCTGGTCAGAGAAGAGGTAGCCAGGGAAATTGGGGTTGGTGACAACTGGGGAGAGGGATCACAGGTAAGTGAATGGACAGTCATGCGGGGCTCAGAGTATCCATACTGTGGATCTGGGCTCCAGGCAGCGGTGCAGGCTGACCCTGGCCGTGGGGCTGTGGCCTGGGCAGAGGCTAGGGTTGGGACTTGGGCTGCTGCCTAGAGTCAGGCTGCTGCCTGAATTCCAGGCTGCACCACTCTGGACTCTGCTGTGGCCCATGACCTGCAAAGAGCAATGACAGAGAGCTGGCGTGGGTGGCCCAGGTGCCCTGCAGCTCCCTTGATCCTCCACATGCCTGTCCTGGCTCCTACCTGGGGTGGGGAGGGGCCTAGGGACATCACGGGGGGCACAGGCCTGGGTGTAGTGTTGGCTCTGGGAGCCACATCAGGGTACAGTGTCTCTGGGGGGGACAGACCAGGTGGTTGGAATGGGGCGGGGGCACAGCCGAGCTGTGCTCAGCACCTGCTACCATCCCCCCTTGCCCTCTAACCTGGTGGGAAACCCTGGCGTGAAGGGCACAGTGTGGTCCAGTCCACCGGGGAGCTCACCTCGGGAGCCGAGTCCTGTGGGGAGGAGGCTGGGTGTGGGACGTGGGCCTGCCTGACGTTCCGTGGCTGCCACCCTCCTCTGCCTGCCAGTCCCATACCTGGGCCATGGCCTCCCGCAGCAGGTATCGTGTACTCTGCAGGCTGCCCCGGCGGTCGGCAGGCCCTAGGCCCAGCCCAGCCCGAACCAGGGCCTGGTAGGGGGCTGGCACCAGCGGGTCCAGGGCCGGGCTCTCACCTGCCTCCAGTTTGGCCTTCACCTCAGGTCCCTCTCGTCCAGCCCAGGGCAGCTCTCCTGTAAGGAAGCATGACTGGAGGACCGAAACGGGTGGGAGCTGCAGGGGGGCGGGGAGCAGGGTCACTCACTGACCAGTGAAGACCTCCTGGGCCAGGATGCAGAAGCTGTAGAGGTCTGAGGTGGCGGCAGGCGTGTCACCACAGATGAGCTCAAGTGGCAGCCATGGATACAGTTCGGGAGGTGGGGGCAGTCCTGGGCCTGGGCCTCCCCAGGGATAGCCCTGCTGTGGCCTGTGGAGGCCGAGGCACCTGGTGAGCCAGTGGCCTCTGGGCAGGGACACAGGCAGGCAAGTGAGGCAGGCACTCACCTGGGCCTCAGCCAGCGTTGATGCAGCGAGCGCCCGTGTTCCAGGCTGCCCACCTTGGCCAGGCCTGGCCGCACCAGCTGCACGGCATGGGAGCTGAGGCCGCCGTGAGCACGCCAGCGGGCCTGCAGGAACAGCAGGGCCTCCAGCACCTGCAGCAGCAGGCGGCCGGGCAGCAGGCCTGGCACAGGGCGGGGTGCCCCGCGGGGCCCTGCCGCTCTCGGTCCCTGTGGGTGCAGCACCACATGCAGGGAGCCCAGCCACACGGGTTCGAAGAGAAGGCACAGCCCCGACAGGTCCGCCGAGGGGCTCAATGCCATCAGCAGCAACAGGCTGGGGTGGTGCAGGGTGCTGGGCAGGAGGAGAGCAGGCCACTCACGAGGGGGCCCTAACCCACACGGGGTGGGGGCTGCTCTTGGGCACAGAGACTGACGCCAGGGACTGACGATCCGCCTCAGCCACGAGACAGAGGAGAAACCGAGACCCAGGCTCACACAGCCTGGCGGTGGCAGAGGCAGCAACCAGTTTACACCCTGTCCCTGGTACCCCTCCCTACACCCACCTCCTCTCTGAGGCCTACAAGGCCGCACACGGAACTGGGTGCCCACCTTCCAGTGGTGGGGTAGTCACTCCAGTAGGAGGGCTCCATGCCAAGTACTGGCCCACAGGGGAAGCCTGTAAACAAGGCCACTGCCACAGTCCCTGGGCTTCTGTTTATGACACACTTGAGTCAGGAGGGCAGGCAGCAGACTGGCCTGTGGGCCTGGGCTGGCCCGGAGGGAAGGCTCGGGGGGACATACCTGCAGTGCTGAAGGTCAGCCAGCAGCACGTCAGGCTGGGTTCCAGGTGCCTTCAGCTGCCGCACGGTCACAGGGTGGCCCCTCCACAGGAGGCTGGAAAAATGGGGAAGGTGAGAGAGTGTAGGTCTGAGCCACGGGGTGTCCCTGTGAGGGGAGCAGGAGAGCTGGACTCTCCCAAGAGCTCTGCTGGACAGCCAGGCAGGGGTGTGGGAGGGGGCGATCTCTCACTTGGCCATGAGGGTGTGGGAGCTGCTCTCATAGGTGCGGTCGGGCTCGCCCTGGGCTGGCAGTAGCTCCTTGGGGTCTGCGAGGGGTATGCCTGTTACCAGCCCCAGTGGCCACAGGCTGCTCAGCTGGGGATGGGGAGCGAGACCATGAGGCACAAAGAGGACAGGTGGTCCTTGCTCCCCTCAACATCCCCCTCTTACCTGGCCGAACCCTGAGGCTGGAATTCGGGGGGATCTCCTGATCTGCTCTGGCCATGGTGCCCTGGGGTAAAGGGCAGTCCGAGAGTAAGTCTGGAGTAGCTGGGAGCAGTGGGTGGGCAGGCCTCAGGGTGTGGACTGTTACCTGTCCGCTTGCACCAGCCGCAGAAAGAACAGGGAACCACCACACAGGCTGTGTCCAGAGCCGGCCTGCAACTGGTCCACGGATGCAGTGGGTGCCAACTCACTGCCGTGTACTAGTGCTGATATGTTGGCCCGGCAGAGCTGTAACAGCTCCCGCATCTGGATGGGGTGCGTGTGGGGTAAGGCAGGGCGGGGGTGCTGGCCCTGATGCCCTCACCCCACCCTGGCTGTGGCTCACCTCACAGCTCTGCTTGGCACCACCCTGCTCTGCCCAGTCCCACGGGGTGTGACCCTGCTGGTCATGCAGACGCAGGTCACCCCCTGCCTGCAGCAGGTGCAGCATAACCAGGCTGCGGCCGGAGAAGGCGCCCGCATGCACGGGTGTGCTGCCATCGAGGCAGCGGCTACAACAGAACAATGAGAGCAGGAATGGACTAGGAAGGGGACAGGACGGGGGACAAGAGGTGGCAGGATGGGAGCACTGAGGGATAAAGGGGTCACCATGATCATGGGAGGTGGATATCAGGATGGGGGTCACTTGGGGACACAGTGGAGTCTTTGAGAGGACGAGAGATCGCTGAGAGCATGGGGCACCGGAAGAATGGGAATAGACACTGGAGGACAAGAAGGGGTTAACTGAGTGAACAAAGTTGGGGGTAGTCACAGGGATGGGAGGGGCATCAGGGGATGGAAGGGGGTCTGAAGGAATGAGACCTCTGGGGAAGAGAGCCCTGGATCTCAGGCTCTCTGGGGCTCAGACTCAGGGCCCTGGGAGTGTGGGGGCATCACCACCTGTCCACTCACTGGTTGGGGTTGGCACCAAAGGCCAGCAGGAGCCGCACAGCAGAGCTGTGGCCCAGCAGCGCAGAGAGGAAGAGCGCCGTCTGCCCAGCAGAGTTCTCACCATCTACCTGGACAACTGAGGGGCAGCAAGGTTTAGGACTGTCTCTGCCCCTTACTCTGGGGGCAGAGGTCCTGGAAACACCTTTCCCAGTTCCCAGCCCCTACAGTCCCTGCTTGACTGGGTGATCCTTGACGCCAGGTTCCGTCTCTATGTCCCAGAACCCCCGCCTTCCAGTTCCAGCCTCAGAATCCATCTCAACACAGTGCCCACCACTAAGTCCACAGAACTGGAACAAGGTGACATCCACCTGCTTTGCCAATATCTATCCCCGATCCCAGAGCTGTCAGTCATACGAAGGTACCCAGGGGCCAGGAGGAAGTGGACTTCATGGGCACTTGGGCTTACAGGAGCCTCGTGCACTGTCTAGGGCAGGCAGGCTCCACCCAGCTCTAATTCAGTGTACGTACAGCTCCCATGTGGCTAGCATCAAATTTAAGATCAGCAAACTCTCTGAATTTTTTTTTAATGGAGGTACTGGGGATTGAATCCAGGGCTTTGTGCATGATAGGCATGCGCTCTACCACAGAGCCATACCAACCCCTCCACCAAACTCTCTGGATTTTATCAGGAAATCTCTCAAGTTTATTTCTGAACACTGCACAAGGCAGTAAACTCCTCTGGATTCAGCCTCCATGCCCTTGCCAATCCCCTCGCCTCCATCATCCTGCTCAGATCCCTCCTCCCAACCCCTCATCTCCACACTCATCGTGCCCCAAGTCCTGTTTCTTTGCATCCATCATCCCTGAGTTCTTATTTCAGACCAGATCCCACATACCCAGGGAGGGCAAGTGCATGGTGTCTTTTTCCTTGCATTCCTATGTAATTGGGAGACACAGCTAATCAGTCATGCACTTGGACCAACCCAGCTTGGTCTCTGCCATAAAAATCCCTCCAAATACAGTCTTTCAGGAACCTCTGAAAATCACATTTACTATATCCTATTTCACTCAATAGCCTACCATCTTTTGCAATGGCATCCTAACTGATTTTCTACATTTGTCTTACCCTGCAGAGGGAGCATCTTAAAATACAAATCATTTCAGGATATATACAATCTTTACAATAATCACTTCATTTCATGTATAGATAATCGTATACAAGTTATTCCAAAAAAGAAAAACAGAAAAAGAGGGCAAGGCTCATTTTATGAGGCTAGTGTGACCTTAACTCCAAAACCAGATGAGAGTTTTCAGAATGAGAAGTGAAATTATACATCAATTCCGTTTATGATCATATATAAAAAGCCCCTAAAAAGAAAAGCAGTAACCCAATTGATTTATTCCCAGAATGCAAGGATGATTTAACAAAAGAAAATCTGTCAACATAACAAAACACATTCAAGGATTAAAGGATAAAAATCATGTTTAATTAAGTAGATACAGAAAAGACATTTGATAAAATTCAATACCTACTTATGATAAAAAAAAAACCCTCAGAAAACTAAGAATAAATGGGAACTTCCTTACTTCATAAAAATTATAAACCAATACCCAAGAGCAAGCATGGTACCTAATGCAGAAACACAGACTCATCTCTCTAATAACAACAGAGAAAGAAATGTCCATTGACAACAAAGTTTGGGAGTTCTGGACAACAGCTTATGACAGGAAAAAGAAATTAGAATTTAAAGACTGAATAGCTGAGACCAAACTGTCACCATCTGCTGATAACAAAAAAGTGAAAGGATCAACATACAATTACAACTGTTAAGCAAGTTCAGAAAGTGACCAGATACACAACCAACTTACATAAATCAATGAAAAACAGAAATTGTAAACTGGATAGTGTTAATTTCCTGCCCACAACTCCAATGGTCTCCAATTACACACAGAACAAAATCCAACAAAATGCACACACACCCCTTCCAAAACCATCAGCTTCAGTTCTCTCACTGAGTCCCTTGCTCCCTGCTGTTACTTACATATACCCAGTTTGTTTTGACTTCAAGGCCTTTGCAATGGTTATTCCATCTTTCTGAAGTGTGCTTCCCCTAGCTTTTTGCATGACTGGCTCTTAAATTGTTGGACTCAAATATCACCTTATCCAAAGAGCTATCCTTTCCAGTGTATCTACCTCATCTTAAATTCCCATAATAGATTACATTCACAATGACCCAGAAGGTCATGTTCACCCCTAAATCCCCATCACAAACAACAGAGCCTTAGCACACACACCTATTGTGTCAACACAGTTGTGTCAACACAACTGTTGACTGGCTGACTGAAGTCCCACCCTCCATACCACCCCTTGATCTTGCTGCCCCCCTCAACCCCTTGCCCGGCATTTCCGGTAGCCAGACCCTCACCTCTCTGCAGAAGCCGGGTAAGACCCCAGCTTGGGCCCCCAGCCACAGCAAGGCGATGCAGACGGCCCACCTGGCCTTCTGGATCCCTAACGGAGCCCAGCTCCACAGGTAAGCGAGAACGCAGCGAGGACATCTGTGGGCTCCAGATTCAGTCAGCTTCTGGCCAGGGATCAGCTAGGGGTTCTCATGAGGGCAGGAGGAAGTGATGGACTAGGCCTCTGGGGACAATAAAGACAGACTGGTGGGGAGTCCTGGAGGACAGTCTGAGAAAGGAAGGTGATTCAGGAGGGGTCTTATTTGGAGAGAAACGTCTGAATGAGAAAAAAGGTGGGCTCTGAGAGAGCTACAAGGTCAGGAATCTAAGGGAGTCTGAGAATGAAGAGGATCTAAGGAAATCTGAGGGCTAGGTGCTCTATCTGGGAGATGGGGTCTGTGTAAGGGCTAAAGGGACAGGATTTGGGCCAAGGAAAGGAGTCTGAGGCCTTAGGAAGAGGGTCTGAAGACTACCTAGTGGCTGGAGGAAGAGGGGCCTGAGGGTTAGGACCAGAGAGGGGGTGGGGTCTACGGGCTGTGAGAGGGAAATGTCCAAGGGAGGACGACAGTCTGAGGGCAGGGTCTTCCGGCTGCGGAAAGAGCCCGGGGGAGGGATCTGAGGGCAGCGGCTGGGTCTGTGAGCTGGGAGAGGGTAGGAGGGTTGGGGGCGTGGACTGAGGTTTAGGGAAGCATCTATGTGCTGCGGAGGGGTCTACGGGCTAGGAGAGGGGACAGAAGTAAGGAAGGGGTCTGAGGGCTGTACCTGTGGGCAGCAGAGAGGGCGAGCTGGATGCTGACAGGGCCTGATAAAGACGTGGTGTCAGAGGGCGCAGGAGCCGAAGGAAGGGAGGAGTATGAGGGAGGAGGCGCCTGAGGGCGGGATCTGCGCGCTGGGGAAGGGGTCTGGTGGAGAGCTGAGGGCCCAGTCCACACGGCTTTACACCTACCGTTGGCCTCCTACAGTGATCACCACGTGACCACTACATGATGCCACGCACTACTTCTGGCAGTTTGGGCGGGAATCCTTAGCGCATGCGCATCAGTGGTCGCCTGCCACCTTTGCACTTGCGCAGTAGCCTTTTTCCGTGAGCGCTGCTCTTCCGGTCTCGAGGTGATCCGGTAGAAGAGACAGCAACGTCCACTGCTGTAACTGTTGGCTGCACCCTGCATGTTACCACCTTCTTGTGGGTCCTTCCTGATCCCTGTCCTTGGCTGTCTTCCCACGCTCCTCACCCACCCACACAGGCTTTCTTTCCCTTTTCCCCTGCCCCAGGCTCTCTTCTTTGCCCCACATCTGGGGCCTCACAGTGCCCTGGACACCTCCCCCTGGATGTTTCCCGGGAGCCTCACACCCACCGGGTCCCACATTAACCTTAGAATCTCCCCCAAACTGCACTTCCCCCCAGAACCCCGTCTCAGAGTTGTCCCCACTGCCCCCTCTTTAAGCCAGAGCCCTGACCTTTCCCTGAATGTCTCCCTCAAATCCAGCCTGTCGGCTCCATGGCCCTTCCACTCAGCCTCCTGATTGTTCTTTCCACCAGCCCCCTCCTTCCTTCCCCACAGCCTGCCCAGCTCCACCCAGCTGCCAGGATTCCCTAGGCAGCTTCCTCTGGGCTCTCACACAGAGAGCTCAGGGTCCATCCCCCACATGGCAGCCAGCAGACTCTTCCTAAAGTGCAACCTGACTCTGTCCCTCCTCCACTTCAAACCCTCCTGGCACCCCAGTGCCCTTGGGACAGAGTCCAGGCTCTGCAGTGTGGCATCTAAGACGACATCATCTGGCCCTGCCACCCTCCATCCTTGTCTCCCCACTCTGCAGTCTGTTTCCTGCTTCTCTGTTTATACACATGCCATTTCCTTTGAATGCTCTTCTCAGTATTCACTTGGTTCTTCTTATGAATTCTCTGGGAAGCCCTCTTGGTCACCAGGTGTCTCCTCTGGCCTCCCACAGCCTCCAGGCTTTCCCCAGCATTGCCCTGATATTCCACCTGGGCTCCCCTCCCCATCACAGGCCTGTCCACCCTGGCTGTCACCGTCTGAAAATGGGCCTGTCTCCCCCTACTGGACCAAGAGCCCTATGAGGCTGGGCCCGGGGTTGTCTTTACCTCTGTTGTGTCCTCAGCATTGTTCACCTCAAAAGGGGCTTCAGTAAATGCTTATTAAATAATAAAGTGGTTTGGTTCTTCTCTCTGTCCCTCCCTGGAGGTGTGACCTTAGCCTTGCCTCTTGACTTCAGTGCCTCAGTGTCTGCTGTTTAATAAACTATGCTCTTCACTTGGAGTGAAAGAAGTTCTCACATCAGCCACTAACTGGCTGAATAGAGCTGACCACAGGCCCTTCTCAGGACAGGCTACCTCAGGGCTCAGGGGGAGCCTTCACTAGTCTTTGATTAATGCCCTTGCCATCTTCTAGGGTCAGCTAAAGCTCTCTCTTGAGCTGCAGAGCCCCCTAGCTTGGGCTGGCCAAGGTGAAGATTAGCCCTTCTCCACGAAGACGGCTTCAGTGCAAGGCAGCCCTCTGGGCAGCAACTCAGGACCTTTATTGACCATGTGACCCCTGGGGGTGCTAATGGGATGCCCTCAGGCCCCGCCCCAGAAGCCTCCGCCGAAGTTCTTGGCTGAGCAGCTCCTGTTCCCTGCGGGCGCCCTGCAGCACACTTCGGTTCTCCTGGGCCCTCCGGATCAGGTAGGGAATCACCTCCTCCAGGGAGCCATAGGGGATGGACTTGTACACGGCATAGCCGGCCTGCCCTGGAGGGAGAGTATTGGCAGGGTAAGGGCTCATGTTTGAGGAGAGGCTCCCCCAGGCCCTACATGGAACAAAGACTTCCATGTCTGAGAAAATGGCAGACTAGATGTATTGGACAAAATTTCCCACTAAAAAAAACTAAAAATCTTGGAGTAGACATTTTAAAAAATCTTCTCCAAGTTATTAAAATGCTGCCAAGTGAATAAGGAATTTATACTAATCCAAGAATTAAGAGAAAATGGGGACCGAGAGAAGGAAGGGATACACCAGAGGCATTTCTACCCTGAAGATAAAATTGAGCTGCTATTCGATGACTTCAAAGTTGAGAGGGTACAGGAATGAAGGCCCAAAGCCTGACCAGAGTGAGAATTATAAAGGAGAATTTCCCCAAATTAAGTTGGAACCCAAACATCAAGACCTTCAGAGTAAGAGTTAACAAGAAGTCAACACTCCCACTTTCCCCCACTCCCAGAGAATGGCCTTGACCGTAAGTAGAGCAAGGAAGAAAACGGAAAAATCCATCTCTGAGAGCCTGTGGCCATGGGTTAGTCCCCTAACATATTTGCAGCCCAAATTTGCATCTCTGAGATCTCTCAAGAAACCTCGAGCAGTGAATTTAGGGTGCAGTGGTTTTGTACCCCTTAGCACCTGGCAGAAGAAAACATACATCTTCTGGTCTCAGGCCCTGAGGAGCAAGACAGTAAAGATCTCACAGGAAACAAGATACCATGACCAAAGACCGACAAAAACAACAAATTGCAGACACAGAGATACAGGCCTGCAAGGCCTTCAGATATGGGACAGATCTATCTGGAAGGGTCTGGCAGCTGGGCCGGCTGCAGGCTCTGCATGGGAGCCTGGCCAGGCGTTGTCTGGGAATGGGAGAGGGGGTCTGGCTGGGAGAGAGTAAGGCCTGGGGCTGGGGGTGGGGGGATGGATCATTCACATACCTAGTGCCAAGGAGACGTGGTCACACATCCCCAGAAGTTGTCCAAAACAAACAGGCCCATCCAGAGGAATGCCAAGCTCCCATATGCTACAGAAAAAGCCACATCATCAATCCAGACATTGACCGGATCTGGAGCTGGAAATCAGCCACTTTGTACTCACATGGCTGTTCCAGGCATTCAAATACTGACATACTTCCAAACTCACTGATAATAACCACTGCCCTGGGGCCTCCTGAAAGCTCCCCAGTGAGTCCCAGCTCCTTCCCTGGAAGCCTCAGACCTCCCAGGCCCCAGCAAATAAGGAGCAATGCCTTGTTCAGCTGGGGCCTATGGGACCTACAGGTGTAGCAGGGGTTAAGTAATTTGAATATTCTCCCAAGGTCCCCTTTGGACCTACTGGCCCACATTGCTCCTCCCTTTGTTCCACGTCCACTACCCTTTGGGCACCTATTTCCCATTCCCCCACTTCATACCGCTTGGTTGCCTGGCGAACAGAATCCTCATTGTGGGAGGCCACCATGAGGTGGCACATGGGGCCACGATGGGACACATGGGTCAGCATCAGCTCCAGACAGCGGCTGTAACTGGAAGGAGATGTTCCATTCAGCTTATAGCACCTGGCACGTGAGGGTTAGGCATCAAGGACCAGGAGTTTCTGTCCTAGGGAAGTGGGGTGCCTCAGAGCAGGGACCCCAGAGTCAGGAAGTGCTGGCACCCCACCTTCCTCAGCTGTGAGGGACATCCCCTCTCTGGGCCTTTTTCTTCTCTCTGTTTTTTTAAACTTTTTTTAAAATTGAAATATATTCAATTTACAATGTTATGTCAGTTTCTGGTGTACAGCATAATGTTTCAGTCATACATATACATACATATGTTTCTTTTCATATTCTTTTTCATCATAGGTTACAACAGGATACTGAATATAGTTCCCTGTGCTATACAGTAGAAACTTGTTGTTTATCTATTTTATATATAGTAGTTAGTATCTGCAAATCTCGAACTCCCAATTTACCCCTTCTCACCTCCTTTCCCAGCTGATAACCATAAGTTTGTTTTCTATACGTGGAGAACTACAAAACATTGATTAAGGAAAGTAAAGATGATCTAAGGAAATGGAAAGATATTCCATGCTCTTGGATCGGAAGAATTGATAGTGTTAACATGGCCATATTATCCAAAGCAATCTACAGATTTCATGTGATCCCTATCAAATTACCCAGGACATTTTTCATAGGACTGGAACAAATAACCCTATAATGTTTCTTCTCTTTAACAACGCAAGTTCACCTAACAGCGTTGTTGTGAGGATGGAGTGAGATGAGGGTGGACAGATAGCCTTCGGCACCAGTCTCACAGCAAAGGGCCCCATCACTCGGGATGACATTTACCTGAGGTCATTCACTGCAGCATCGTCTACAGAACAGGGTTAGCAACAACCCAGATGACTGACAGTGGGGGAATGGCTAAACGAACACCCAGAGGATAGTGGCGTGCACGCAGCTGTAAAGGAACAAGGGCACTCGGGACACTGATGTGGAAACGTAGGAAGACCGGCAAAGGCTTTCTCAGCTTGCTGTAGGCCAGGTGCCACCTCCAGACTTCACGTACTGCACTGGTTCCTCCCACTGCCCTCGAGACGGGTGCTCCGCCTGTCTCTGCCCCTGAGGAAGCTGGCTTTTATGTCCTGCATCACCGCATCACCCATGGAGTCATGGCAGGAGATCAGGAGGTGGGAGGCGAGAGAACTCGAGTATTTCACCCCTAAGTCCCCTCCCTGGCCCACCCTCACTGTTCTCCGTGTGGCCACACCACCCCTGGGGTGGCCCCTCCTCTTCAGCTGTAGCACAGGGGTCATAACAGCTTCCTGCTCTTGTGAGGCCCTGGGCGCCTCAGCATTCCTTGTGGGTTCCCCTAACCTTGCCCAGTCCCCTTAAATAGACCCTTCACTAAATTTTCTTTAGCTAAACCCCTTTGCTTGGAATTCTGTTTCCTCTGTGACCCGGCCTGACATGCATACATTCACTCATCTAACTCTCAAATCAATTCTGCGAGGTAGCTGTTCCAGTTACCGCCATCTTACAGAGGGCAAGACACAGCTGAGAGAGGTTATGTCTCTTGTCACCACACAGCTAGAAGTGGCTGAGCTGGGATTGGAACCTAGGCTGTCTCATGCTCCAGGGCCAGGGCTCATTAACATTAGACTATTCTGCCTCTAAAATACGCAGTTGAGAAGAAAAGCAAGGAGCTGTGTGTAGACATGATGCCTTTTACATATATATTCTCAAAAATTGTGGTGTTTGCCTGTAGATGCATGAAGGATCTCAGGAAACACATGAAGGAAACTAACAAAAGTGGTTCCCTGTAGGGCGGGAAGACTCCATGGTTAGATGGGGGTACAGGTAGAAGTGAGATGTGTCAGTGTGTTCATTTTCATATCATTTAAATTTTTGAATCATGTGAATGTATTATCTATTCAAAATCTATATTAAAACATTACTGGAGAGGGTGTGGAGAAATAGGAACCCTCACACTTTGCTGATGTGAATCTAAAATGCACCAGCCATCTTGGAAAACTACCCGGCAGTTCCTCAAAGAGTTAAACATGGAGTCACCGTATGACCCAATGAGTCCACTCTTAGAGAACTGAACTTTTAAGGGAATTGAAAATGTATGTCTACACAAAAATGTGTGGGCAAATGTTCATAGTTGACAAAAGTGGAAACAATCCAAATGTCCATCAACTGATGAATGGATAAATAAAATGTAATCTATCCACACAAGGGACTATTATTTAACCATAACAAGGAATGAAGCACTGACACACGCTACAACATGGTTCAACCTTGAAAACTATGCTGAATGAAAGAAGCCACGTATGAAAGCACATATATTATATGATTCCATTAACGTGAAATGTCCAGAATACACAAATCCCTAGAGACAGGGAGATTAGTGGTTGCCAGGGGCTGAGGGGAGGGGGCGAATGGAAAGTGACTGCTAATGGATATGGGGTTTCTTTCTGAGGTGATGAAATGGTCTGGAATTCAATAGTGGTGATGGCTGCACAATCTTACACATAGACTACGAAAGCCACTGAATTGTATGCTTTAAAAGAGCAAATTTTATGGTATGTGAGTTATATCTCATTACAAAGAAATAATGGTGCCAGTGGTTAAGCCTATGGGACACAAACATGCCTAGTAGCCTCCATGGGTCTTGGATGCGAGCCTAGGTTCCAACCACTGCTTGGCCGCTTGCCCTGGAAGCTGGGTACGTCCCTGCGGCTCTGCAGACCCCGCCTTGACCCGCTGTGAATGGAGTCGGGTTTTGACAGCTCCATGAGGACAGGGCCTGGAGGCCACTGTGGTGGCTGCTGTGATCAGGGTCCAACACAGGTCAATATAGTCCATATCAATATGATGTCATTGTATGGTGACAAATGAAAACTAGGCTTATTGTGATGTGTTGAAAGAATACATTCCTTCCTTGCGGGCCATAGGATGGCGGTCTAAGGCACTCACCCACATCTCACCCCCAGCAAGGGGTGATTTGGGGTGGGTCAGAACGCAGGTTCTAGACCCAGTCTGCCTAGGCTCAACTCTTGGAGCTGTCACTTGCTAACTCTATGACTCGGAGTAAGTGATCCCACCTCTCCGGGCCTCGTTTTCATCGTCTGTAAAGTGGGGATGATAATAATAGTATCTACTACTTGGGATTATTCAT